CAGACAAAATTCTTCTTCCTTTTCACAACATTTCATGCGTAAAGTACAGTAATGTTCTGTAATATTCTTTGGAAATGACTCTATGAAGAGTCGAAACGTCAGATCTTTTTATTTAATAAAATAGATTTCAGTTTAGTCTATGGCTGCTGTTAATTTAAAAAGGAATATTCTAATCAAATTATTGGCTCTTAATCGTTTTAAAACAAGGTTTTCTGGAGATCTTCTCTATTAGCAAGAGCCGGAGAGTTAACATTTTTTTGTTTTTTGTTTTGAACTTGCTAAACTGTGTAGTTCAAATGTATGAGGTTGTGAAAAGTATATCTCAATAACTTAAGATTTTCTAGAAGTCTCCAAAGGAGACGCCTACTGAATAATAACAACTACAAAAAGTATCACCTAGAAGAAAAATATTTTTCCTTCTTTCGTGTCATGGTCAAGAGTCCACCATATTAGCTAACAGAATTAAAAAAATCTGCAATCTTACCTCGTATATAATTTAATGTAGCATTTAGGAAAACGTTTATACTTAAAAGTATACTCTACAAAAAGGACCGGATGAACCAAAAAAAAGAAGAAAAGAAATTAGTTTATAAAATCTTACGTTTGAATTGTGATAAGTGTTATATTGGTGAAACAGGTAAGGAGAAAGTAACAAAGATCAAAGAACATGAATTTGACATTACAAAGTACGCCGAATTATCTAATATTGCCAAACATGTTAATAAGGAAAAACATTCATTCGATTTTGCAAGATCAGAAACCCTGTCTCCTGAAATGAATTGACGAATCATTAAGGAAAGCCTATTTACACACCAAACACATGGGAAATCATTGAATGACATAAAATTTAAATTAAATATTCTTACATAAATAATAATCATGCTTTAAGACAATTTTTGTGGCCCACATTATGTTGTGCGAACGAAAATAATTTGCGTATTATTATTAGTTTCTTTCTTCTATTTTGATCTATTAATTAAGCTGTAATCTATATATAGCGAGATTGTTACTCAATTTTTCGTTGTTCCTGAAGATGATAAGTGTATCTTATCGAAAACTCGAATAGATCAATAAAGTGATTTTTAAATAAAATCTATAATGATATTCGTAGCAGTTTGGATAAAATAAATTTTTGAGCCCACGAAAAATAGAGAATCGATCCCGGTTGCTGTAATTAACAAAAAAAAGATGTAAATGAGCCCAGTTCAAAAAATAAAAACTTTATCTTCACAAAAGAGAGAAATGAGCCCGATAATTTAGATTTGTTAAAAAAATAAAAAAAATATTCACTTTTCAGAGCATTCTTTTAACATCCACCTTAGAAGCGCCTATATATAATCGTAATGATAAATAATCACGAATAATATATCTTTTCCAATAAAAATTTTTTACAAATCATAATAACTTCAAAACAAAAAAGAATCACGCAATTTAATGAGTACAAAATAATAATAGTAATGTTTTCTTAATCTTTTGTTAAAGCCATTTTTACTTTTTTTGGTCTACTTTTTCCTTTTGTTTGACTGATTTTTTGTGGAACAGTTTAAAACATGATATAATCATTAAACCGATTGTATGAACATACAAATATTTCTTTCGACCAAAACAACATATATGTTATAGATACACAGTTTGTAAGTTCCTCAGTACGATGTGCAGAAACATTTTTTTCTCGAACAAAAAATTTTAGATCGTTTTTAACAATCATCCTATAATCTTCGAGACATAGCTTGTAGAAAAAAATATCAATTCCGGATATCTTCTCATTTTTGTAATTTATATACACAATTACTTATTATGACTATCTTTAATTTTAATCACGAATTTATATACGCGCCTCTAAGATTGATTGATTTTAAACGAATTCTCTTAAAGTTTTGATTATTTTTTTAATAAATCTAAATTATCGCGCCCATTTCTCTCTTTTATGAAGATAAATCTTTTATTTTTTGAACTGGGCTCATTTTTGTCTTTTTTTTTATTAATTAAGACAACCGGGATCAATTCTCTCTTTTTTCCGGGCTCATTTATTTTCGTGTCCTAGCAGTTTTATATTCTATACTTTCTAAATTATTATCTATTGCTTTACGTTTGAATTATTTACTAACTTTTTTTCTTAGCTTATGGAATTTTTCCTAATCAGTTTTGAATTTCATTGTTTCAGCTTTCATCCTCTTTGATTGGCACTTAACAGGGAAAATTTTTCTTTTTTCATATAGAAAATGAAAACACCGATTAGATGTACATAAAACAAAATTTGGATGAGACGAATGATAGAAAGCCATTTTTATGCAGTACCGTAGTATATAAAATAACATTAATGAAAATTAAATTAATGAATAAAATAAACATTCTGGAATACTCAACCAGATGCCCAGGACTAAAATGGAAATTTGGGAAAATATAAACACTGATCAATGGGCTTATGATAGAAGATCAAACTGATGTCAAGCTGACAGAAGGATAAGTGGAATTAATGGAATAATCTTCCTCAAGTACATGGTGTATAGCAAGGAGGAAATAGTACGATTGTTAATGCTGATCTAATGTTATGACGTCGAATACAAATCATAAGTGAAGATATTTTTCCTTTGAAAAGAGTTTAATAGCTGAAATAATTTCATGAATAGATTATTCATGTAGTGGAAAGATAAGAGTAATTTGATATTTACAGGCAAATTAACTATTCTCATTCAGTAGAATAGTTGCAATTTTCATGTAACCTTTCTGATCAGCTATCTATCTCAAACAGGAAACATCTTGAGCAACTTTTTTTATGAGAATATACCCGTTTCAGAAGCTGTCAACTGATAATCAAAACTGAAATCAAATTGAATACTTGCTCTCTCAGGACTGAGTCCTGTATACAGTTTGTGGAATTAAGGCAATGTTAGAACAATGATTTTTAAAAAAAATGAAAATCTGATGACGAAAATTTTGACGAGAACAGTCTTTTAAAATTTTCGCCCTTAAAAATTTGATTTGAGAGGTTAAAACTCACATATTCGGATTCAGCTCGGCGAGCTCTATCGAATCATGTATCTTATTTCTCGACTTTCACTATAATTGACAGCATCTTTGTCTGTAGCATGAATATTACGATAAGATCTTTTATGCTCTTACAATATTTTATGGAATCTTGTCTTGGTTAATGTATCAGAATTACTAGTTCGATCAGATTGATGAGTTACGTAGTCGAAATTATTTTACCCTTTGACTACAATTTTATCTCCAACTGCTATTTTTTTACGTGCATCTGGTCCAACAATGATGCAACCTTCGGAAGCTGAGTGATCACCTTTGGAATTATCTCCATGAATTAAAAAGCCATTTCGACCATACATAATGTTCGACTTATCTGGTGTTAATACTAATGTTATCGGACCTTTGGAAGTATTTGAACTTGTTACGGTGTATTCACCTTTCGGAATTGGACCAACAAATGGCATTGATTCTCGATCAGAATTATTTAAACCTTCTCCACGACCAGAATAGCCAGAATAGGAAGTACCATCAGAGGTTGTAAATGTACCAGTTGACTGAGAATAAGAAGCCATTCTGTAAGGAGCGGAGAAGATCTAGATGATTAATAATAAGCGCCGATGATTGAAGTTTATTCTTTTTAAAATGGCTGCGTTTTATTGATATTTTACCAAAGAAAAGCTTCTATTGAAGGAAGAGAACGTGTCAGAACATAATGGGTTTCTCCCCTATTCAATCTGAATCTTCCATATGCCAAACCGTTATGCTCTGACGCATTCTCTTTCCTTCAATAGAAACTTTTCTTTGGTATAAATGTCAATAAAACGCAGTCATTTTAAAAAGAATAAACTTCTGTATGCTCTTCGCTGCTCTTTTTTACGAGAGTTATAAAATTTAAAATTTTTTCGTGCTTCCTTAGCAAAATGCATACTGTGTCTTACACTGTGAGATAATTGCATAATATATATGCAAGCACACCGTCATTTTCTTCTTTCCTCTCGCTGCTGTTGTTTGTTTGTTGGTTTTTGTCTGTTTTACTAAAGAAGCACAAAACTCTCGTAAAAAATAAATCATAAGTTTTGTAAAGGACATGCCTGAAACTGTCATACACTTTTTTTTTAAATCGTACACAAGTAAGAAAGAAATTAGAGAAGAAACAAAAGCATAACTATTCTACTGTACAAAAATAGAACATACCTATTGTTCACTATTCGGTCTTAAAAAAACCTGTTATCGACGATCAAACATTTTCTTCAAAACTTTCATCTTCATTTCTGTATGATCACTGCAAAAACAAACAGTATCACATAACATTAACCAGTCTGTAGTTTTAAGAAACTTGTTGCAGACAGACACAGGTGATTAATTACCGTTTCTAGACCCTATCGTTTTAGTCTAAGAAATCAAGATCCAAGACATTATTACAGGGTTCTAACTTATAGTGTGCTATTGACCTACATTTTAGTGAAAAAAAGACATTATAGCGACGAAAAGTGTCTTTAGGACAACGAATCTGAAGATAAAAACCGTCAACCGACGTTTGAGCGCCCGACATTTGAGCGCCGACATTTGAGCACCCGACATTTGAGCGACCGACGTTTGAGCGACTCCGACATTAGACACTTTTCAATATGACTTTTTGCCAATCAGGAAAGTCGAATGATTATTATTCACTTCGATAACGATGATCAGAACAATTTTTTTGTCGTCCGATTATGAACTGAATTATTTGGAGATCTGAGGGTGAGGCTGTGTAGGGTAAGGGTGGGTGTGGGTGAGTG